GCAGGCTGATTTGATAAAAGATATAGCAAATGCACCATTTTCTATTATAATAGATGAGTCTACAGACGTGTCCAGAGATAAGATAATTAGTATTTGTGTGAAGTACTATTCGGAATTAAAAAATATCGTAATAACACAGTTTTTGACATTTTTGAAAGTTGTTTACACCACAGCTGATGTTTTATTCTAAACTGTAGTAGATTACTTTAAATAAGTTAATTTAAATTTAAACAATCTGGTGGGCATTGGTACAAATGGTGCAGCTAATTTGTGTGGAAAAAATAACTCACTATTTACTTTAGTGAAAACAAATTTTAACTTGGATAATTTGATTTTAGTTAAGTGTATTTGTGATAGTTTGCAAATATGTGCTTCAAAGGCCTCAGAAATATTTTCTAATGAAGTAGATTTTCTTCTAAGAGAAACATATAACTGGTTTACAAACAGTGCTATTCGAATTAGTAAATTAAAAGATATTTATTGCTTCATAAATATTGATGATTAAAATTTCAGAAAATTTTCCCAGCTTAGTGCAACACGATAGTTATCAAGATATAGAGCAGTAGACAAAATTTTAAACCAGTATTTAGAGTTTGAAACTTTCTTTTTATTGAATGCAGACAAAGAAAAATGCCATGCAGCAAAACTTTTGAGTGATGCATATAAAGATAAAAGCAATCAAATTATATTAATATTTTTTCGGTCTTTTTTGAAGCAGTTGTATTTGCTAAACTTGAATTTTCAAAATACAAGCATTGATTATTACAAAGCATTTTCAGATGTAAATACTATGATATGGTCATTAGCGCGGCAAATTTTAAAACCCGCGATAATAATGAGTCTTGAGAGTAATATAGAATTATTAAACGATACAATGGAATATAAGCAACATTTTTTAGGCATTGATGATTGTGATTTTGGATTTCAATTTTCTACAGAATTAAATAATCTTAAATTGCCTTTTCACATCTCTCAAATTTTGAAAAATAAATGTTTAGAGTTCATCAAAGTTCTTTTGAAGGAACTGATCAAAAGAATGCCCATTCATTTAGATGTGTTTCGCAAAATAAAGATGTTCAATCCTCAGGTTATTTCAAGTCAAATAAGACCGACATTTTCCGAATTACCACTAAATTTTGCAAAGCAAGAAAAGTTATCCGATCTCGAAATTCTATTATGAAATATTTTAAATATAAAATGGAATGAGATATTTGAAAACGGTATTCCAGAAGATAGTCTTACCTTCTGGAAAAAGGTAATAACTGTAAAAAATGCCGCTAACGATTTAATGTTTAAGGAATTATCACTTTTTGCGTTTACTATGTTAACGATGCCGTCATCAAATGTAGTCGTAGAAAGCACATTTTCAATCATGAACGTAGTTAAATCAAAAATTAGAAATCAAATGATGTTGACTCTTTTAAATTCAATTATGATTGTTAAGTTTCACTTTTCAGTAAACAATACTTGTTGTAAAAACTTTAATGTCACTAGCAATATGATATCTGGATTTAACTCAAAAATATATGAAGAAACTCCAACACAAACATGAGAACAAGACGAGGAAGTTTTGGATTTTTGCAGCGAAATATTTTGAATTGTCCCATTTCCTATAATTTCTTTCCATTAGAATTCGATTTAAGTATCATCACCAAAATGTTTAGGTTACACCAGGCTACTGTAAATTACTATTGTGCTATAACCTTTGAAATCGTTGAAATTACAAAAAAATGTTTAAATTTGACGAAAACAAAGAGACAAAGACAAAGACAAGAAAACAAAGAAAGAACAAAACAATTTTGAATTTTATCTACATTTTTTCTGACCAATAATACTTAATAACTTTGAAAGTATTTGGTCGCGTCGTATTTTAAAAACATATTCTCAACATCAGCTCACTAGTATGAGGTAATAATTTGCGAACAAAAGACCAGTTGACAGAGAGAGGAAACTCTTTAACAGTTATCCTAACCACTATGAAATATAATTCTATAATTGTCGCTTTCACTTTCTGTGTTTATCTATCTGGTCACTTGAGCTTTTTAAGCTTGAGACTAATGTTAATGTGGCAAATTACCTTGAAAAATGATGTTGCCGACTTTCTGATCTAGTTTTTTTTGCAAATATCTCAGTCTTTCATTACAATGAATTTTTTCACTATTGTTCTTGTTCTCCCTAAATACCTCCAGTGGAATGACGCAAATTTTTATTCAACCTATAGATTACGTATGACTTAGTAACTGAATTGTTCAGACTTTTTATCCTGGATTAAACCAACAAAGTTCGTTAGCTATAATTGGTGTAGATAAAACTATATAGTGAAAGAATTTCCGAAGGGAAATAAAAACAAAACTGGAGACCAATCAATAACCGCTCCACTCAAGCGGGCAAATTGGCCGGATTATAGACATATCTACTGATTTCAAATACCATTAGAGTTTCTTCTTCGCTGGGCCCTCCGAAAAGCCATCAATCCCACAAAATATGTAATTGACAACTTGAACTTAAAATATACATTTTTAAAACGGATAGTTGCCAATTATTGGTGTGGCATCTGAGCAAATAAATTACAAAACAAACATTTATTGTTTAATTAAGTCAGAAGTAGCGTGATTATTCGGTAATTTAAAATCATAATTTAGCTAAAACGTTATTTTTAATAATAGAAAGAATAAAGTAAGCCGACCATCATCAAGTTTCCTTTTTCAGTGCAGTAGATATTTTTTTGCTTTAATTTACCACTATTTACAATCTGTAGAACAATAAGTAAACTTGATAATAATGGAAAAATGGCATAAGAAAGACATTAACTGGATTTAACATTATGACTCCCTTGTGTAACCCTCTTTGAGAGCTGTTAAATGGAAAGCGATGATACATACACATGACATGGCGTATTTACTGACATCACAATCAGTAAATATGGGTGGTCATCTGGATCAAGGAAAATGGTCTGGCAGATCTGGATCAAGGAAAATGGTCTGGCAGATCTGGAGGTTTAAATCTTTTAAGTCTTCTTGCGATATTATTTCTGAGTAGTTCCCAGGCGAGGATATTTGAATGTTCTTTGTGCGATCTTGATTGGCCGGGTTTTCATGTGTGGTCATGCATGCAATATCCGCGAATGTTGAGATAAATCCATCTGCAGGTATGTCAGCAGTGAACAAGTTGTAGAGTGTTGGACCAAGAACTGAGCTTCTGCGCAAAACATGCGTTCGCTCAAGTATAACTTAAGTAAGACGAAAAACTGCGGTAAGTCAGTTTCTATCTTGAGTAGGAGTCCTGCATGCCAGCCACGGTCGAAAGCTTGCTACGTCTAGGAACACCCCACAGCTGTAAAGTTTATTCTCTAGACACTCGTATATTTGACTAGTAAGTCTGTGGATCGGCCTCAACTGCTGAGTGCCCCAACTGGTGGTGTGGTATCAGACCGTTCCTGTCTATTGTTAGTCTGGCGTCTCAGAAGCAATCTTTCAAATACTTTGGATAACTAATGTAAAAGGCTAATAGGTCGGTAAGAGGCGGCATCTTCGGATGGTTTGCTAGCCTTAGGGATCATGACTATCTGGGCCACTTTCCACTGTGATGGAAAACAAGCTGTGCGAACTATGGAGTAAAATTGTGTTGTTTATGCAGCAAAGCTTTTCGTGGAAGATGCTTGAATATTTTTGCCAACAATAAGTCGTAGCCTGTAGTATTGTTTTTCCTCATTGCCTTGATTTGAGAGCGTATCTTCAGATCGTGTAAAGAGTTTGTTGGGTTTGTGCATGGGCAAAGGAGAGACAAGGAAGTCTTCGATTTCATTTGACTACACTGTTAAAAAAATCTGGTTGAATTTTCAGTCAAATGTAATTGAAGTTTTTTTCACATACGTAACTGAAAATTCAGATACCTGTTATTGAAAATTCAGAAACCAGTTACTGAAAATTCAGATCTTGTTATTGAAAATACAAATTACTTTTGGTAAAAAAGAAGAAGAAGGTTATTTAAAAAAAATTTCTTCGTGCCATGCTCAGAGAGAGCGCGGACGACCTCTCGCGCATATTTGCGTAACGCACTATCTAAATTATACGGGGGACCTGTCGAGATTGTTTTCTTTCCTATGGTAAGATTTCTGCTATTGTTCCCCCTCGTCTGCTTCCAACGTTTTCCACGAAGTAACCAAAGTATCGGCTGCGGGAAAATTTTCACGCCTTGGCCAGGATTCGAACCTGGATTCCCAGATTGGCATGCAGATGCATTTTTTACCATGCCAATGTAGCCTACGATATTGTTTGGTGAAACTGTGATAAGCCTCTCTGGTACTTGTCACGTCACTGTAGAAAGAGTAGATCGCCATGCATCCGTTTATACGATGGTACGATGATACAAAAGTGCTCTATTGGTTGGAAATCTGTTAATTCGTCCGTGGTAGTACGAATTGAGAGATATTCAATCAGTCCCTGCAAATAGGTTAAGATCTGAAAACTTTTCAGTTCCATGTTATTGAATTTTCAGTTACATGTTATTGAATTTTGGATTTTCAATGAGAATACTGAAAATTCAATCACAATGTGCATGAATTGATTTTCAACAACCAAAAACTGAATTTTCAGTTACAAAACTTACTGAAAAGTAACTGAATTTTTAACAGTGTAGTTGTCAGCTCTAGTCATGGGAGTTGAACTGAACACGTCGGTTAGATGGGCAGCAAATACTTCGGATCTGTCCTGTGTACCTATTCTTGACGACTAGGGAGTAGAACAGCCGAGAGAAGTGGGCGGGGTTTTATGGCAGAAAAAAAATTGAGAGAGGGAGCCGTTCCCCAGGGAGCGGGAATGATCGACTGGTACGACGCAGTAGAAAGGGCATCTCCCCGGGTTTTCCAACCTCAAATCGTATTTG